TTGATAATTTTTGTAAAAAAAAAACGCAAACATTTTAGTCCCTATGTATAATAGAATATACGGATTGATAAATTTAACTAAATTTAATTTGACGCGCTGATACGTCAAATATCTATATACTCTACTTTCGTTTTTTCAACGATTCTATTTCCGCTCTCTTACATGATCCTATTTCAATGTCTTTGCACAAAAAACAGTGATACAAGATAACAAATAACAACAAACATCTAAAAAGTGTTATTATTAATAAACAATATCTCCGGAAAAGTCGCAGAAATATTACAGCATTAAACAATTCAAATAAAAAAATAAAAAAAAAATTTGTACAAAAATTGCTTGAAAATTTAAATAATTGAAATATTAAAAAAAATTTTACAACTAAATATATTCTATCGATTTTTAGACAATTTTTCCTACTACTGACATGCTACTATTTTTATATATCCTCTATTTGTAATGCGATTAGATAACTTACATGATTCCAAAGAGCAAACGTACATATATTTAAGAATCACAATTAATTATTTTTAAATGTATCATATATTAGCTATTATAACAAAAAGAAATTTGGAGATTTTTTAAATGAAATTGGCAATTATGAAATCATGTGTCTGTCATTCTCACACGCGACATCAAATAATTTCATCAAAAATTGTATAAAAAATTATCATTCTGGTATCTATAAATATGAGTTAATTATTTTATTAAATTTATCTTTCGATTATTTGTGTGTGTGTGTGTGCGCGCGCGCGTGTGTGTGTGTATGTGTGTGTGTATATGTATACATCACATAATTTTATTATGTTGACACGACTCTTCTCTTATATGATAAATGTAAATAGTTCCTCTGCCTTTCCTTTTCTTTATCAACTAAATTTTAATCAAAACTCAATTAATAATGAAATTCTAGCACACATACATAATATTGAGAAAAAATATAGACAATTTTTAAATAAACATTTAGTTGAATATTGTCAACTAAATATTTATCAAATATAAAGATATATTTATTTGATACAAGAACCATTAATTTGATTTAACAATTATTTTTTTTATTGAAATATTTATTTACTATATAAGCAAATGTTTAGTTGGCGGAATTAAACTAAATATTTATTAAAATATTTATTAAAGAACTATATTTTTTTCTCAGTGTACAAATTCGTACAATTCGCATCGTTATCATTTGCACACAATGTAATCTTATAAATTTCTCGTTATAAAAATCATGTGATTTCATGCGCATGTGTTTACTGAAGATCGCGGCTTCGGCTTGTCATGACAAGCCGAACAATTACTGAAAAAATAATGATTTAGCTGGATTAAATAGTAATTCTGGAAAATGAATAAATTAGAATTTTCTGGTTAAATGTACTAGAATTCTAGTTGAGATAACATAGATTGATATAATTACTGTGGTAAAAATAAAAATTTCAATAGATTTTACCAGAAATATATGCATCAACCAGAATTCCGATTATCTCAACTAGAATTCTAATAAATTTAACAAGAAAATTCTGATTCATTTATTTTCAATCAGAAATTCTTCTCAGTGATATAACCATTCAATATAATTATCAAAATATCATCCAGCAGATAATACTATTCTATTACCGACAATATTTTTATCAATTTCTACTGCAATACACATTTAATATGTATATAATATAAGGTATATAAACTTTCTTTAATTTTAATAATAGATTAATATGTACTTGTTAATATCTGATCCTTGGATGAGATAATATTTTTGCAATAAATTGTTTGCAGCTCTTTAAACTGCTTATTAATGTCAATATCATTAAATTGACAATTTAATTTATGATATTATTATCATAGTTTCAGTTTAACATTGCGATCCAAAACCGAAAATTAAATCGGCGCATAATTTAGAAAACTGAATATGTACATTAAATAAATTCACTAAATATTTAAATATTAATTGAGCACTAACAATAAGATATAGCTGGAACCGAATAATCTCAGATCGAGATGTAACTCAGTGTGCATTTATATATTGTTTAATATTATTATTATTGTTTAATATATTAAAATTTGTCTAAAGTAACAATTCCAAGTATTCGCGGAGACTTAGACTTAAATTCTTTCACGTTAATATTACAATTTCACAGACTTCAAGTATTTAGAATTTAACTGAAACACTCAAATATTATATAATTTTATATTTTAACTTTTATTCTTTTATTCTCAATTTTTTTCTTATATCGCGTAATGTTGCCCATGCATATTTACTATTAAAATCGAAACGCAATACACGCCTTAACTAAATGAAGAGTCGAAACATCTAAATTAATTGTTATATAGAGAATATGTGACGGACACGGATACGTCTAATACTTAATTGGCACTTTATTCTTTCTGATTAAATAAATTACTCTGTCGAAGGTCTAAAATCTTCTTCAAATCATAATGAAGTCTCCGTATCTCTCATACGGCTTTATCGTTCGCATACTACAGCCTTGCGATATCGTATTCCAAATAAAAGCATCTCTCGCGCGTATATACTCCCACATGAGCTGTAGAACCGGAGTTATCCGACTCCTTTTGTTTGTATATCAATACACGTATATATGTATATGTGTATACGTTTATCCCGCCTAACTGTGTCGTGAATATGCCGTGAATAAAATTTATGTCCGATAATTATTGATATAATACAAGTAATTTATATTTCTTCTTAATTATAGTATAATTCCAGTGGATAACACAAAGTTTAAAATCACGATATAAGACGTACAATAACATTCTTGTAGACATGTTTACAACATCGTTTCAAAGAAAAACGTTTTATTGTAAACTGTGTTGTCTGGGATCCCATACTACATATCTGAGAAACATCCTGGGAACGTCCTTAGAACGTTCAGAGAACATAGAGACGTCCTGAACGTACTTAGGATGTTCCTTGGAGATCTGTGTCGTGTTTCTTCAATTCACATGTAACATTAGCATTAATATTAATTCATCGAACCTCACTGTTAATACATAAAGAATATTACTCTAATAACACAATTATTGGCATAATTGCCCAAATATTAGCCCAATATTTGCCTAATATATATATATATATATATATATATATATATATATATATATATATATATCTCCACGTTTAACCAATATATCGCCAATAAATTGCTACTAGAATTAATAATTTTGCTATCATTGCCGTCATAACAATGTCAATGTCAAACAGAACACGCCTCGTTATCTCGTTTACATGTGTTTGATCAAACGAAATTTCTTTCGAGATACCATCGGCGCCAGAATTGACGTACCTGCCGGTGTCAGGCGCGCGGCTCTTCAGCTCGTAGTACATCAGCTCCTTGGTCGAGGTCGACAGAAGGGAGAGGACCTGCTCAAACTCGTCGTCGTAATCCGCGACGGAGACATGGTGGGCAATCGGGTCTGCGACGGCGAATGCTGCCGTCAGATCGAAGCCCATGTCGATCCCGGACTCGTCCATCGTCGCGGCGCTTCGAATGTACCGCGCGTCGATGAGCCGCCCGCGCGCCGCCGACGAACGCGCGTATTCCGAAGTTTCGGCGCCGCGCTGGAGCCGCTGGGGAGGACGTGAGACGCGCGATAAAGCAGAGATACGATGACAAAGTGGAGAGAGAAAGAAACACAGAGGAAAAGAGAGAACGTTCCGGACGAGAAACGCGTTGTAGAAACAGTCACGACAAACGAAACGGACAGCGAATAGATTTTTCTTTTGGGAGAAAAGGTTAGCGGGAAGGAGATATTATGGGAGATGGATCACGGCGCGCCTTTGTTTTTTTTTTTTTTTTTTATGGATATCACAAGCACCGCGAAGAAACTCCCATTTTACCTGAGTGTCAAGAGTTCTCGCGCGAGTTGTTGGCGTTCGCGACGGCGGCCGCGCATGCACGCGTGCGCGGATCCGTGACGTTCCTGCTTAGCTGCGGCGCGTGTTCCATCGCCCCAATTCGCGCGCGATTTACCACGGCGATTTATCACGGCGCGCGAACGATAACCACGGCGACGGCGGCGAACGACAACGCGATGGTTTTCGTGAGAAGACGAGGCGCGAACGCGAACACCCGAGACGCAACGCGAAGCACAACGAGACGAGCGTGACGCGCGCACGTATCGGTACTACGCGGACCGTCCGGCCGCCGGGACCATCGCGGAGGTTTCGCGACAGCGGCGGCGTTTGACTTACCGACTGCCGCCATCTCGCGGACACGTGCCGACCGGCGGCATTCTTTAAAATGGTAAACCAATAAGTCGCTCTCTGTTCGCGTTGCTTGCACTTTTCGCACTTGCAATTAGCAGCTTCGCTTTTTCTCTCTCTTTAATATTCGAATATGTATTTATTTACGTGTAATATATAATTATTAATACGTGGTAAGCAATTTTTATTATGTAACTAAATTTATTCGCACGAATATGAATTTGAAGTAGTATTGTAAAGTAATAGTGTTAAAAAATCAATTCCTTTTTTTTTTTATTTCTAATTTTTAATTAGAATCTGAAAATTACGTATTTGCCACACATGTTCAACTTCAAGTTTTGTTAAATTACTCTGTTATCTCGTATCATAAGCGAATTGAAAATCGTTTTACAATCTTTTCTGACTAGCGTTTGTTGTTTAATTTTATGTTTTTGTACCGATGATAGTCAAATCTTGACCGGAACGTCTACGTTATTATATTATAATTTTAAATATACGACTTTCGCTTAAGACATCCAGTGTTGTAAATGTTCCCTTTTATTTATATTTTGTATTAGTAAGCCACTTTTAAAAAATTTCAATATATTTATTTATCTCATTTTAAGTGCAAAAATTTTTGGAGATTGTACGCAACGTGAACCAGTCTATAAAGCCAGCGACACACGAGCATGTTTTTCTGTTGAAGTGCCTGCGTTTTACTAAATTACTAGAAATCCTACGTTCTATGCAATTTTCGTAATTTACAGGCTTATAATCTTGTAGCTTTAGCGACAACAATAATTATAGATTATAGTTTTCCACTTAATAGATACTCTCAAGTTCCTTCATTTCAAATATTTATATTTGTTCGTATATTTTTCGAGATTTATATTACAAATAAAAAGCGATATTTCATTTCAGTAACTTATTGACAAAAGTCGTTATAAATTTATTTAAAATATTATTTTGGCGAGAACTAAAAACTTATATCATTTTTCTCCTTCAAGCTATATAAGATGTTTTTTTGAAAAATCTATTGTAAAGCTTAGTAGGGACATATAGAGTCTAATTATCTTATGTCAGATGTTATATTTGTAGGCTCTGGACATAAAATATTAATAACATTTGATAATTTATTCTAGTAACATGTACAGGGAATAATTTATAGAACTAATCAAGTCATACCCGTTACAAATTTTTTTTTACAGTTTGTAAATAAAAATATCTGTAATAAGATATTTCTTTGCATGTCATATTGATATTAAAAAATTATTTTTGTCGATTACTTTCTTCGAATCAATTAGTTAATTGTAGTATGATACATTTGATCAATTAAATTACTGTACCTATGTAAAGTGATGATATTTTGAATAATATTGTTTTGGCAAAACAAAAAGCCTCTCAAATTAATAGAAAAATACATTCGATTATTCAAATTGTTTCATATTATGTGACATATTATAATAATCACAAACTATTTTCTTTTTTAAATAATATCTATTCTAACAATAAGAACTGTTCAGTTATCTGTACTAAAACGCGATACAAATACGAGCATTTAAAGTAGAGACGCCAGCGAAAAACATGACATGGAATATAAAATAATTATTATTTGACGAAATAAACATACATCAGCATAACGTGAGCGATTGTCCAGTGATGTAATTCACAGAATGCGCTGACACTGATCGTTACTACACGTTATGACCTCATGCAGTATCGTAAGGTACGTCAAGATAGTTAACCGCTTGGGTCTGTCGCGCGAATTAATTAAGGACTGTAAATTATTCGCCGCGCGTCGCCATGTGCTCGCGATTATGTGCGACGCTGCTTTCAATATTAATCTTACCTAGGGCATTCGCGATTCAGGCTTTCGATGGGGATACCTTACCGCCGAAAATCTCGGAAAAGCTCGATGATTATTGGAAAGCCTACAAGGTAACATATTCTTAAAATAAGAATATTTCAAGAGGCTGATTTTATGAATCTTAATTTTTTTTTATTCTCTCTTTTCTTGCGTTGATTACATTTTTTTTAATTAAAAACTGCTCTCATAATTTTTTATTTCTATTTGTGAAAATTATGTAATTATTAATTGATTTTTAAACAACAATTTTTGAGAATATTTATGTGATGTAACAAAAATTTTCTTTAATTATATTATTTTTTAATAGTCAGTATATCAAATATTAATGGCATAATAAAACATATTCTATTTGTTAACTAATTAATTATTACAATGCAATAATAAAATTAATCTATAGATTCGTTAATATTCTTAATATTAATATTAATTATTATCAAGAGAGATGCTGCAATTCAAACCTAATTTAAAATTAAAATTATCAAGACGTAATTTACTTATTCAAGTTATTTATTTATTCAAGAAGTAATTTACGTAATAATAAAAACATATGTTTTATAAATACAGTTGCAAAAGTTCTATATATCCTTTGGTTGAATTTATTAGATCAACCTTGTTCAAGATTATGCTTTATTTGAGCAGACGCAGTTTAATAAGATATACGCAAAAAATCTGGAAAACGCCAGAAGAATGGCTTGGGAGCAGAACCTCGTGGAAATTTATAAGCACAATCTATTGGCCGCCGCAGGACATCATAGTTATACACTGCGGGATAATCACATTGCCGATCTCAGCACTCGACAATACATACGCGAAATGGTTTGTAATTAATTGCACAGTTCCATTCATCCAAGTTTTGATTTTAATTCTTTAACATACACTCTCTCCCTCCCCCCCCTCTCTCTCTCTCTCTCTCTCTCTCTCTCTCTCGTTTATATAACTTTTTTTGCTATCTTCGATTCTTTTATCCATAATTTTTTATCTTCATTGTTTTTATTTTTGTATTTTTGTTTATTTGCATTTTTTTATTAGCATTTTTTCTCTTTCTTTTTCTTATTTATTTCTCATTCTTTTATGATGCTTAATAAAAGGCTTGTCCTGGAATATTAATAAATTTCTTTATGTATCTATCTATCCCTCTTTCTCTATATTTTCTTTGCTCTTCAAATAATCGCAAATCTCTATCACAAATATTATATATATTTTATTACAAAATATGAACAATACTAAAATTGTTTAAACAATATCTCTTTCTACCAATTTCTTTCATGTCAGGTGAAACTGATACCCAGTCGAAGACGTCGACTGCCGACCGAACCGATCGTATCGGGAGCACAGAAGGATTCTCGCAATATACCAACAAGTTTGGATTGGCGTAAACACGGTTTCGTCACTTCATCGGTAAATCAACGGAGCTGCGGGAGTTGTTACGCTTACTCGATCGCGGAAAGTATAGAAGGACAGATTTTTAAACAAACCGGCATGCTACTACCTGTGAGCGCACAACAGTTGGTAGATTGCAGCACGATAACTGGAAATCTCGGATGCACTGGCGGTTCCCTCAGGAACACTTTAAAATATTTGGAAAAGTCTAAAGGTCTCATGGCTAGATCCACGTATCCCTACGACGCCGAGGTACGCATTTTCCAACTGTCGGGCATACGACATAAACGATATTTCGTCGAGACATCCGTTTATA